GAATATGCTGGTGCTTATGATCCAAAAAGACTTTGCTCCCAGAATCATTTATTTATTTGAAGATATTAATGGTTGCGTAACAAAATCACCGCAGGATATTTACTACTCTTCTACCTTGCTTTTCGTTTGCTTGGTTGAACGCTCTTTCTTCTGTGTGTCCATTCGTCCTTCTGTTCATCTGCTGCTATACTACATACTTTCGTTGTGTTAGTTTGAACGCTCAGTGTCGCGAGATTATGTTGGCAGACGACAGCGGATAAAATTGGGAAGTGGACATGGTTTGCCGTGATTTATGATAACTAAAGATTTAAATCAAACCTAAAAGTTTTTAAAATGATTTCCCATAGTAAATTAAGAGTAAAACTACCTCGAATTCCAGGCCATAATTAGCCAAATATTTTGATTGCTGATAAATTTAGATAAAAAGCTGAGTAAAACTCTCACACTTATTTCATTTACTTTCCAACAAATCCAAAATTCTCTTCCTGAATATATAAACGGTTTCGTCATTTCTCTGCGAAGGACAGCTTAGATGAATAAGAATTTAGGTGTCGATACAAGCAATACATGTGTTTTATGTAATATGCATAAGGAGTCTGTGTAAGGGAATTTTTCCTTTTTTACTTTTGTCAAGAAAAGGAGAACAAAATAGATAACATACTTTTAGTGGTATTTGATTTAAGGAAATTTTGACATATTTTTAGGCAATTTACTTATAAAAGTTTCTTCCTATTCAATTTCCATGTGCATTCATCTAGACACATAGTGAATTCACACTCAAATAAATATATATGGAAATTTTCCTTTTCACATTTATATGAAAAAGCCAAATATATTTCCGTAAACTATTATTACCGGAACTTTGGGTATTGTGAAGTTTTACAACGCAAACTTTATTGGCATATATTTTGACAATACACTTTATTGTTATTTTTATGATACCATAGAAATATAAATATAAATATGAAGATAAATATATGCATATATTTACATATGCATATTGTCGTTCAAATCGGATGAGTAAATTTGCATTTTAAAGAGCATAAACTAATTGTAAATGACACATTAAACGTTCTTACTTTGTTTTTATACTGAACAGTGCAAAGAATCGCGACACAATTATTTCCGCATTTCGTTCACAACGGCATCGAAGAATTTCAAGAATCTGAGATTTTTTTATATTAGATCCGTCCACTTTTTTCTATGTCAATTCGTCCATTTGTTCGCTGCCAAGATTAGAAATGTTGTCAAAATTCGAACAAAAAGTGGAAAACTTCCGAGATATATATATGTAAAATTCATATTCAATTTGTATATAGAACTTAGCTACATTTTCAAGTTTGAGAAGAACTAAGAAGAACTCATATTAACATGCGAGACTTACGCTGTCTTTACCTACAAAATTCCAATATATTTAAGTTAATAAGCTGTGGTCTGCAGTAGATATGTATCTGCAATATTTATCAAAGCCGTAAATATGGCGAGCAATCAATGTGGATCGCTTTATTGATCCCATTTCTATTTCTATACTTTACGTGCCGGGTATCTACAATTCGGTTTACGGCTCTTGTAAGTTTTTTTGCTTGTTTACACTATTTATAAATACTGACGTACTGTAATATTGAAATATTCAGAGAAAACATTTTCCTGAATTGCGAAAGAATATATCAACGCTGTAGAGCATGGAAGCGAAAGTAATATAAAAATTTCAATATATTTCACTTTTTAAATAAATCCTTCTCCACGACTGTGACGTATGGGTGAACGAAATGAAGGGAAATTTGAAGAAAATTTATTCATAGAGACCTTAATCTACTCACTCTGCTTCTATACATCGATGGTCTTACTTAATTAAATTGTAAACGTTTTAGTTTTCCTCACTTCGGCTCTCATTTTAAAAGAATTTTTATCATTAGATTATTTTTTTCAGTAAAATGAACGATTTATTACACAACACAAAGCATAGGAGATATTTTATTTAAACCATTGCTTACTTTTACCGCCTTTCAGACAGAACATAAATTCCACATGGAGACAACACCATGTCCTTTCAATGAGACAAGTGCGTATCCCTTGAAGTCGTCCATGAGATGGCCCCTTTTTCAGCTGATGCCATAGAAATGGAAATGCAAACAACAATTTGATTGAAGTCAGTAAAAACGAAAAATGTCTGATGAACATAGCTGGTGGTAAGGAGGGCGTATGCGGTGGCAGGTCCTCCAGGAAGGGATTCTAGTTCACTCTTAAACTTACCTGAGTTAACTTTGCCGTATGGAGTCAAACGACGTCATGCTGAAAAATCAAAGTTTTATGATTTCTGATATATGGCGCCTGTATTTCGGCTCAATTGCATTAGTAGTTGTTATTAGCTTTCCTTCGTGACGGGTTCGTTTGATTAGAGAAACACCTAATATATTACACGCAGTTCATTTTTTCAAGACGCGTCGCGCCATAGATGTTTGGCTTTATTTTTGACGTTGACAATTTTTCTGTCCTGAATTGTGGTTATGTCGGCTTCTTATGACTTTGCTCAGAATACATGTTATTAGAAGGTGCTACACTTCTCGCATTTGACTTTTTTGTGGCACAAAACTCGATCTATTCCAAATTCAAGAGAACAACTATGTTGATTACTTTTCAGCGGGATAGCATACACTTTTATGTCAACCTTAAGTTAATACTTGCAGATGAAGATCTAAGAGGATTTAAAACTCCTCGTCTGCCTGACATCTGCTCATGATAAATTTTGAATTGATTTGATAGATTGATACGTTTTGACTTGACGACGAATCTTACTGAAAGTAGATTAACGCCATACAATACTGCATTCGAACTAATTAAGAATTGGGTTATGTGAGGAATTTCGATGACTTGGCACCATTTTTTGGATCTCCTCCCATCTCAACGTTGTTATAAAAAATAAGCCAAATTCACAATTTAGACCCTAATAGTTTACTTTTGGATCATGTTTTTGATATGCTGTGATGGAGAGAAGCGAAATAAAGTAGAGTTTTCAAAAGCCGTATTTATCCTAACATAATATTTTTACTTTATTTATTTATATATTTATATATTTATATGAAATTAATTGGAATTCAGTCAAAATAGCGATTCAACTGAATTGAGTCACACTGGAAAACTTAAATTTAAATGGATAGTGTATTTGTTTTATAAATAAAAAGAAAATAATTTTAAAATAAAAAAAATTTATATAAAAGTTACAGAAAGTTACAGAGAAAAAGAGAGAAAAAAATTTATGTTTGAATCATGGGATCAATGAGATGTAATAAGGCTAGCGAATCTAAAGCTAGCATTAAGAGGAGTAGATTCATAGTGGATTGTTACATAGAGCTCTTGCTAAGATTATTTAATTCATGATCAGTTTTATCTTGTCGGCTAGATTTTATTATACAAAAAAATGTTGCTTCGAGAGGCGATTTCTTTCAACCGGAAGGAGTTAACATCAATGTAAGCAACTTGCAAAAGTCAATAAAAAAATATTTAGTTATTCGAAAATTCAAAAACCGATCTGTCTGTGTTGACTTATTAGGTCGTATCAATCAAGCCTGAGGTTTTTTCCTCTGCGGATTGTGTACACACCTGGCGTGCGATTCATTTCATTGCATTTCATTTCATTTTTTCGATGCCAAATAGATTTCGCAAGATTCATTTTAAGCCGATTACAACTTGCGTTTGTCTATTGCACATTCTAATAAAATACTATTGCTGCGTTTAAGCTGATGTTGTCTCTGCTGTTGTCGTCCTTGTGGTTTAAATCTCAAAGGAGAGTAATTAGAAACAAGTTAGCGTACAATTATAAAGGTATACAATGCCAACACTTAACCGTAATCGTTGCAAATAAACAAACCTACAAACACTCACTTGGCAGTTAAAAGCTTAAACAATATCCACAATAACTGCCATAGATTGCCATAGTAAAAAGTAAAGTAAATCCACTTATTTAACTCAAGGAAGCGTAAAAATAATTACAATCCTCCACCAAAGATACAAATACATAAACATTTACAAAACTATACTATGTTCACCTACTTGTGAAGCACTCTAGGTTTTCGTACTACGTATGCACGGTAGTGTCTGCCAGTTTGATTGTAATAAGTGTCGTAGTAGCGATAAGTAAAGTTGTAATAAAGTGAGAGTAAAGCAATTATATGTGATGATGAAGCCATTTTACTGCTGCTATTTAACTCTTCATTTTCTAGAGTGATTTTGCCTGACAGACATATGTAGGCGTATATGTACGAGGAGTTCGTAGTAAAGCAAATTGCTTTGCAACGTAAGATGTAAAAGCTTTAGTAGAGCGTAACAAATGTTTAGTTCGAAGAAAGGAACTTTCCTTTAATTCTAACTTTACTGTGTTATTGATGTTTAAGAAATTACTTTAAAGTACAATATTTTTCTATAAATTGACTTAATGATAATTTTCAAATTTAAAGCTAATTAAAATTTTATTTTAAATTCTCTTAAGAACTTATACCTGTAAGAGGTTAGTTAGGAGAAAAAATTGTTTATCTTTTTTTCCGAACATATTTCATATCACTTTTTCTCTCTTGTGTGAAACATACCTATCTGCAATCAGTTACAGTATTACATTTGTCGTTACATATAGTGTTGCACATGTACACATGAACCAACCACCATCTATTGCATGATATATGATGTACGATTATTCATGTTTTATATCTTGTTGCAGTTGTCTGCTGATGAATGAATGAAAGATTATTTATGCATGTATGTGTGAGCAGAAGTTTGGTTTTGTAATTTTACCAACAGGTGTCTGTCGAATTGTTTTCTGTTTGTGTGTTGAATATTTTTTTCTAGTTAAAATATTTGTCAAAATTTAATTTAAGATAAAATTTTGTTTTAAATGTTTTTTCAGCATTGGTGTTACATCTTCGAAATCTTTTATGAAAGCAAGCTCGAGGCAAGATTTGATTAAATTGCCCTTGCAACAGGTGAAGAAAATCGATAGATGGGATTCCTTAAGAGGCTCAACGTCAGACACATTCACAGAGGAGAACTTTGGACCATTATCTAATGTTAGGTAAATAAATAAAACAAATTTGAAAATAATTTTTTAGATTTTCTCAGTTAAGGAAGTAAGTGTTTAACAAAAATGTAGATATTATTTATTTTATGATTACTTATTGAAGGTTTGCTGAAGAGAAGCTTGATTGGCTTGGCAGAAAGTGGGCCAATATTTATTGTCATTGTGTTAGTTATTAATTTGTAATCTCAAATGGTCACTTGGTCAGCTTAAATGTGATAGGAAGATGCTTTCCTGTGACGTCAGAGCGCGTTTGTTAAGAATCATTTATTTTGTAAACGACCACATCCTCGTTTTTTATAGTGAAAAAAGACTAGTTTTTCGTACCTTCGAAAATGCGAAGCTGCATCGTCGATTTGGAACTTTCATGAACTGAATCTCACTATGGCGAAAACCAAACAAAACCTCTTGCATATAGATGTTTTCATTAAATGTTTAACATGTTTCATGTCAGGATATTCGGTTGAGGTGATACTATATCTTTTTGACATTACGGTCTTATTTTATGCAACAATCTCATTGTGTCCTTTTTAGTTGTATTGAAAAAGGGTTTGCAATGTGCTTGAACCATACTTGCCACTTTAGGGCCGCCGTAATCGTCCGTTCACGTTGTGTAGTAAAGGGTCGTCGGGTCGTGAAACCAATACGCACACGACCGTTTGGTTTGGTTTTTGGCCTGATGTCCTTATTTCCCCGATATTAAGAAAGGAGATCCCGTTAGCCTAAGTAAAGAGCGTTGTAGAACGACATTAACAAATATTGTATGACTTGATTTTTAGCCTAGATCACCAGTCGAACCAACATCTGCTTTCATCGAGACGTCAAACAATCGCTTATCAGGTGATGAAATAATTTCACAAAATAATCGCCAAGCATTAAAACGAACATTAAACCAACTTTTAATGAAATTAGGCTAGATTTGATAAACAAAGTGTCCGAAAAACGGTTTGGTCGTATTCATAACTGGAAGGAGTTAAACGGTCTACATTCGAGTGAGATCGGATTTGCAACCTATCTCATCGAGAATGTACTGCAAAATTAAAGTCATTTTTACTTTTCTGTTCGTTCATCGTTTTCAATAGATTTGTACAAAACCAAACCCATATAAACAAAAACACGTTATATATAAAAAAGTCACTGAAAAATAGTTCTGATAAAAGACACGAGTTCCAGATTGAAGTTCGTAAGTTTTTATTACAAGATAACGTACGATATAGCATATGGGGGTCAAAGACGTGCTGGCACATACGTATTCTATTCAAAAAAACATGTAAAGGCTCAAATATTTGCTGAGAATACATTGCAGAGGACCTTTTTCCCAACAACTCGAACGAACTGCTTCGATGTTTTGTGTTGAAGGACGTCCAGACCACTTTTTACTACTTTAATTATGTGTATCTACTATACGTGCACATGTCTTACTCTGAAACGCCCATTTTAGTACACATCATACTACGTTTTTCTTGTGACAACATATATGTGTGCGTATGTTACCTCAATCATTTTGGCGTCTAATTTTCTTTTTATATTTTACTTACTTAAGACTAGTTCTCTTCATATTTGCATTTTCTTTTCAGATTTGCAGTTTTTGCCTTGGGTTCTTCGGCCTATCCAAACTTTTGCGCCTTTGGTCAATATGTAGATAATATTTTAGGCGAACTAGGCGGAGAACGGCTTCTGAAAGTTGCCTACGGTGATGAAATGTGCGGACAAGAACAAACCTTTCGTAAATGGGCTCCAGAAGTATTTAAGGTGAATTCTTGGTCATATTGAACTCGTGTATATTTGAATATATTATTAACGTCGCCATTACCCTGGACATAGTCATAAAAATGATTAAAAAGAAGTCAAAAGGGCAAAGCCAAAGCTCTTCCCAAAATACTTCGCGTATCTTCGTTATCAGATCAAAAATTATACCATGCTTTTCTATACTTTGCACGAGATTCCTTATATGCTAAGTGGTCTGAAAATTAAAACTAAATAGTGCAAATTTGGTGAATTTGACCTACGTCATTTCATACCTAATAGTATGCTACTGTTTTTTTTTATATAAGGACAAACTTTTATTTATATGGGTATGGTCTCAAAAAAGAATTCTTCGCAATCCAAATTTTCTACATTCACTTAGCATGGCTTTTTGGCTTTTTATTGGTTTTCCTAGAGAAACATTAAACCAACCACTTTTTTTTATGTAACGGCATTTTCATTACGTGGGAAGTGAAGTGGTGAAAGTGATTCCGTCCAATCCCTTTCAAGAGCATTTGTTCTTGAACTAACTACCAACTAAAAACCTCCCGCTTCGCGGTGATTGGTTGTAATTAGTGCGCCGCAATTGGCGGGATCTTACTGGGGAGTCCTAAAGGCTCCCATTACCTCTTCTTCCCAGCCTCACCAGCCGCCTTAATCCTTGGAGCACCTTTGAAGTAAGTGGCAGTGCCTTATGCTTCAAGGCTTTCGATCACACTCTCCACCATATCATGCAGACCACACCTTGGTCTACCATGCGCCACCAATTACGCGTAATTCAAGATCGGTTGCTCCACATCTTCTTCCGCGTCTACACAGCTCGGGCGTATATGTATGTGTTCACGCGTGTGTGCCTTTGTACTAAATTTTGTCAAATATCTCAAGGATTGCCCCATAGGATATAAACACGAAAGGCATGGACAGTGATTTCAGTCGATATAATAGAAGTTGACCCTGGCGCAATTTAATACATCCTCGTCAAGAAATGTTGCACGGTGTAACCAGATGCTTGTCAGGAAAACACTCGAGCTCCTTCGCCTTTTTATAGATCATTTTTATCTGGCTCAATTCCTAACTTTTTTGTTAAATGATTATCGTGGACTGTGATGGCCAATTTTTGGGCTATACTGAAACATTCCTAGTAGGGTGATTAATTTTATGCAGGCGGGAGCGCAGATTGGCGAAATGGAAACTTCCAAATTCGATTAACAAAAAAAAAAAACGCTATTTTAGTCCAATATGCTTTTCTAGTCTTCTTTTTTCCGATTAATTCAATATATTTTTTTTTTTTTTATTTTTATTTAGGTGGCCTGCGAGACGTTTTGCTTAGATCCCGATGAAAATCTTTCGAATGCTTCGTTCGCATTGCAGAATGAGTCCTTATCTCTTAACACTGTACGTTTAGTGCCGTCTAAAGCGAAGGGCTCGTTAGAGCACTTGCTCTCGAAATATCATAACAAAAAAGTGACCTGTTGCCAAATCAAAAGAAATCCTCATAATCTTACTAATATGGATAATAGTGAAAAAACTACAATTCTTTTGGAAATACAAGCCGCTGGCCTGGACTATGAGCCCGGTGATCACGTTGGCGTATTTCCTGCAAATCGACCAGAAATCGTCGACGGAATAATAAAACGTCTGGCTGGTGTCGAGGACCCCGATGAGGTCTTACAATTGCAATTGCTTAAGGAGAAACAAACATCGAACGGCATTTTCAAATGCTGGGAGTCACATGACAAAATACCTGCCGAGAGTTTAAGGACTTTGCTTACCCGTTTTTTTGATATAACAACACCTCCGTCAAGGCAATTATTAACGTTGTTAAGTGGATTTTGTGAAGATAATCATGACGTTGAACGTTTGCAATTACTGATCAATGATTCGTCGGCTTATGAAGACTGGCGGCACTGGCGATTGCCACATCTGCTAGAAGTATTGGAAGAATTTCCTTCATGTAAACCACCGGCTTCCTTAGTGTTGGCCAATTTAATGTCTTTACAATCAAGATTCTATTCGATATCCTCTTCGCCGACCAAGGTAAACAACGAAATACATTTGACGGTGGCCGTTGTTAAGTATCGAAGCGAGGATGGGAATGGTGATGAACGTTACGGTGTTTGTTCCACTTACTTGGCTGCTCTCAAGGCTCAGGATGATTTATTTATATTTGTACGTAGTGCGCCCGGCTTTCACTTGCCTTCTGATCCTCTCAGCCCAATTGTGCTAATCGGTCCCGGTACCGGTATTGCACCTTTCCGATCTTTCTGGCAAGAATTTGAAATGAAGCGCGAAATGCAAGCAAACTGCCAGCTACCAAAAGTATGGCTTTTCTTTGGTTGTCGTAATAGTAAAGTGAATCTATATGCCGATGAGAAAGAACGCTTAATCAATGAGAATATATTAAATCGTGTCTTTTTAGCTTTGTCGAGAGAACCAAATACACCGAAGGCAAGTGCGAACATTTTTTCTAATACTTTCAACATAAATTGTTTTATTCTATTGTTAGTTGAACAACGCGTAACGATTTGAAAAATTTATTTATTTTGTTTCTTTTAAATTTTAAAGATATTATTTATTACTGTTCACAATACATAAATATATACAAATGTAGGTAAAGTTAGCATGCCGTTATCGTCCAATAACTTAGAGAACAAAATTGCTAGCAATGACATCATTGTGGAATATCCTGTTTCTTTATCCTGTCCGTAAGTGCATAAACTCGGTAGCAAATATTGATATAAATTTTTCTTCCTATTTATGTGTGCATAAGACAAGACTTTTTATAACTCGTCGGTTTTTTTTTTTTTGTTGTCGTTATTTACCATTTTTATCGGAAATACAGAAAGAATAAAGCTATAGAAATATACAAACAGAACGATATAACGAATGAAAAATAGTATATATATATACACATAGATAGACATGCTTATGAACTCTCATAGCTATAACACAGGCAAACATGTACTACACCCGCATTGCATATATTATACAATACATAGATTCATATGGATGCTCATAATATGGTCAACAAATAAATTTCCTTTCTATTCATTTATTACTGTTTCCGATTGGAATGCATTCAATTCTCTGTATCCTGTATATGTATGTATATAAATATATATATTATGGTCTATGCTGTGATGGGGATTGCTGCGGTGCTTGCGATTGTTGCTCAACTGCTTTTACAATATGTCATCAATGACATCAACGTCATCAATACCATTAATGTTGTTGTCGTCGCTTTGTGCTTATTGTGCTGGGGTTTATGTGTCTGCCCATCAAATGGTTACTTTAAGTAGACTTATGTTCAAGATTTGATTGAACAGGAATTTGATTCGTTGTACGATTTAATTGTCGAGGAACGTGGTCATGTCTATGTTTGCGGTGATGTGACAATGGCAGAGCATGTTTATCAAACGATAAGGTAAGTTAAGGGTGATATTTCAATTACCATCAGGCAATACGAAAATTTACATATTAAGTATTAGTATTCATACCAACAATAACTAAACCTTTAAATTACAACATTATCATCGAAATATTTCCAATAGACTTTTTGCTATTTAAGTGTTCATTGCTCAAATCTCTGCCTCACAAGTAAGAGTAAATATTATGTTTATACATGTGTACTTTGCGAAGTACATAATGCGCGTATATTTTATAAAAACACATAACCCAGCTGGGCTAAGAAGATGTCTTCTCATTTAGTCGATTAGCGGTCATTTGTTAGTCATTGATTCATTCGCTTATTCTTAAATATTCTATATATATAGACCTGCTATCATCTTCTAACATGTTTTTCCTTTTGCTTGACTATCGAATTATGTACGGGATACACCTTGACGACTGTATTTTGATTTGAGTTCATTCGCCGATTGGTGAAAGTTTTATGAAAAATCCTTATAGATCGCGTTTGCGTTTTTTCGACTTCATTGGAGTGGTCCTCAGTTGCGCGCAAGAGCCAATATAAGTTGCTTAAGTTTATTCGCCAGTTTGCAATTTAAACTAAGAGCAGAGTGGTGTAGAGGGTTCATCGTGTTATTCGTTTGGTTGAGCGAAATTGCGACTATGTTGTATAGCGAGAGAGAAACAGAGAGAGAGAGCGATATTACACCCACGTGGCCTCGCTGAAATTTCCGCAAATGCTGTGTAATGTGCCTCTAAGAGCTGTCTCTTTCTTCACCGGCGATGAATTTTAAATTTCTCACCCGTTTCATCCTAGATCTTCAGATGTATTTACTCGACTGAAGCAGGATTCAGTAGAATGAATATAAATTTGTAGTGCTAATCGTTGATGTCCCTTTGTGTTACGATAATGTGCAACAAGGACGGTGCTAATGATGTCACATATCCTGTTTTTGAGAAACTTTTCCCTTTCAAGGTTTTTATTCATGGTCAAAAGTTTTGGTCCATTCATTTACAAATTGCCAGACTAATTGTCTGTCTAGAAGATAATCCCAAATAATTGCGTCCTCTTTGGACTTCGGTTTTCATTTCCTATTCCAAGTAAGTGTATGTGGATTTTTCACTTCCGCAGTTGATTTATTGGCTAAACGGTTGTCTGTGGTCATTCTCTTACAGTCAGTTATTGTTATGTTCACTTACGGATCTTTTAGAACCAAATAACTTGATCAAGTCAGATGTTCCCGCTTAGCTAAGAGGCAAGAAATGATAAATCGCCATTTTGACTTATTTGCATTACACAGAATACAGCGACGTATTAAATATACTGTAAAGACTGCCACTAAGTATGAGACCAACAGGGAGGACGACTTTCGTTCTCACTGCAAAAGCCATGATATCCTCTATTTTGCAGTATAAATACGTAAATTTGCAGTATGTTCGGTATGTAATAGAAAAATAGAAAGTGACGGGTATCGAACCGTTCGGTATAGGCCTCTTAGAATATCTTGAATATCTTGACGTTGCGCACATATGTATAGATTGTGCTGCTCTTGTTAAAAGTCAACTACTATTTCTTCACACTTCTAAGGTTACATAACTCAGAAATCTTGTTAGTGATTTTCGTTACACTTGGTAATTCGTTTTTATATTAATTACATTACGGGATTTTATAATTTTCCTGATATTCGATAGCATTGCAAAAATGTTGCAATAAGTAATTAAGGAAGACAAGTGTATTGAGCAGAAAATTTAATTTTTAAAAATTAGAATTTTATGATTTATGCGAGGGGGTGTGTGCACTGCTTGCGCCTTAAACTTGTAACCGAGTTGAAAATACTTTTACGAAGTTATCGATAATTATTTAGTTTAAGTTGTGAGTTACAGTTTGAGGGATCATCTCATGTCCCCAAAATTTATCTACGAGTATTTATAAGCAATGTAAAAAATGTCAAGTAACAGGTCGCTATCGCTAATGTTCTAGCAAAATTTTATGAAGAACGGTCGGTTGAACAGACAGATGGATTGATTTAGGATTTTATACTAATCAACAACGTATACGCATATTGCGGGGAGCACTTCCTAGTTTGGCCTAGCTTTTTATATTTCAAATCCGGTCATATTTGATTTATGATTTTTACTACTAAGCACAGTTAATTTTCTGTCCGACGCAGGGAAAAGACGGAGAAAACGGAGATGTGAGTTGGCTGATAACTCTGTCTATTCCGATAGAAGAGAAGAAAAATTTTATAAATTATAATTTTTTCTCTTCGTCCTGTAATTGGAACAATTACGGACGTATCACAAATGATATTGGTGCAGAAAGATGTTCACTTGGCTATTGTACGTGTCCTTGTTTTCGCATTTCTCTCTTCGATTATTTGCTCATTTGCCTACGGTTTACTATTTTTTTTTACGAAAATGATAGATTTCATAGAATTAATGAACGCAGAAATTGCTTGTGGGTAACGAAATTCCCAAAAGCTATGAACGCAGTTCGAATTCGAAGTAATAGAAGGAAATATTGGGGCTCTAGCGGCCGGCATGGTCAAATAAGGAAGAATTATGCGACGAGCAGCTAAGAAAGAAGTAATGAAAGTGAATAATAAAACATATAATAGAAGATTCGAAGGGTTATAAGCAAAGAATATGCTCGCGGCATGGGGAGGTAAATGTTGTTGGAATCTACTATAAGAGGCATTAGGTGTGATAGGCGGGTAACTTTACGGAACAGAATGAGTTCTGGACGTTCCCCACAGCATTATTTAAGAATGGGGGAGCGCTCATTTCGGCCATAACGACGAAATGGCTATTGATCGTTTTCTTTAATTATAATGAGTCGGAAATTAACTGAATCGTGGTTGTTAAACTTGTGCCCACTTCTTTAAAGTCAACTGACCTCGTATAAGGGTTGCCTCTCTAGGCACATTACACACTTAGTCGGGTGACTAAACAAGCTGTTTGAGATGATGCGTATAGAGAAGACTCGAACCACAGAAATATAATATGGGATCACAACAGGATAACGGTGTGCTCAAAACAACAAAGTGTTGTTATATTTCGATTTTAAACGAGATCATCCTTAATACTCATAGGTATTCACTTTTGGGCGAGGTTATATATAAATTAGACTTTCCAAGAAAGCTGAGATACATGAAAGGAAAGTTCGTTGATAAAAAATCCATTGATTTCACACTTTTCCCTTCCATTGAGAGCGTTGCGTACACAATTTTTATTTAACTTGGATATTAGATTCATTTTCTCGGATTCTTTTATGATGGATCATATCATAGGTATTGCGAGCAGCATCTTTAAATATTTTTAAAACGATATCCGTTTGCTCAAAAATTTCTTCATTCAATTTGCAAGAGTAACAGTAATAATTTTTAATTAAAAAATCCATTCTTTCACTCTTCAAGAGTATAAAACATTTGCTCATAAGAAATATTTCTAATATTTTCATTTTATATTCATGTTAGGTGAACATTTAAAATTATTCTGTCACTTAAAACAATAGCAAGTAACCTTGATGACGACTCTATTTGTTTTTCACCGTATTCGTCAGTATTATATTTCCATGAAATCATAGTGAAGACTGCATTATTATTAATATACAGCAGCAGCTATTTACTGAAATTTTCCTCTTTTTCTTCTTTTTTTCGCTCCACCGCAAAACGTGAAATACTGTACGATATGGTTACATACGTAACAATGATGATGATGATGTTACATAGGAAATGCATTGCAGGAAAAGAGCAAAAAACCGAAGCGGAAGTTGAGACATTTTTGCTAACATTACGAGTAAGTAAATAGTCAGTAGTATGTGTTTACTATACAATATGTGCACATCTATATATATATATATATATATATATATATATATATATATATATATATATATATGTATATAGAATGGTTTGTAAATGTGACGACGGTGAAGATGTATTTTTTCAATTTATTTAAAAAAGGAAAAATGGAAAGGAGAAAAGACGAAAGTGTATGTATATAATATACATTTACTGAATACTTACATATGCATGCGTTTATTTGCTGCCATATGTGCGCGTGTACATGCGTGTTTGGAACTGTCGCCATATGTGTGCGGGTAACAAACCACATTGAAATATGACACACAGTCATATGCATAAGGACCAAATACACATACTTGTACTCCCATATGTTTACTAATGTACGTTTGTGTGTTTATTTAACGAACCTGAGTACTGATATTAAGTGCAATAAAAACAAAAGAAATTTTCCTTTGTGTTGAATAAATGTTTTATAAATATTTAACCATGGCATGGTACATACACAGCAACCCATAAAGAACGCATTCGTTTATTGTTGAGTACAACCGGTATGTTGTGTTAGATGTATAGTGTTCACGTGTTTTCACAAGAAATTTTTTTCATTATACCAAATAAGCAATGGTAGCATTTCTCTGCATACAAACCTATAATCTTTTCGCAAATGTGTACATATATATCATTAATTATTGCTCCGAATAAAATAAGATAAATATGTGTTTTTGTGTGTGTGACTTTGAAACTTTCAAATCGAAAAAAAATATCTGATAAATTTTCAAAATTAATTTATTTGTTTTCTAATGAAATGTATGCCAATTTGAAAAGTTATTTTGTTAGGATGTTCAGAAAGTTATTTCGATTTTTTTCATTTTATGGATTAAAATGGAAGATGCTTTAATTTTCTCAGCGACCTTATAAGTTCGTGTGCAGCACCTTATTATTAACTAATGCCTATGTTTTGTTTTCATCAGCTCTAAGCCACCTTAGGTCGACACATTGTCATCCTGCAGCATTTTAAGGTTTTCTAATCGAAAATTTAGGATATGTCAAATATACTGGTTTCGACTTTCCATGATTTCCGAACAAGAACTACAGCGCAGAATAAAACATACTTTTTCACAAACAATCCCAAGTCAGTTACCAAAAGCCGTAAGGGCAATACGATTTATATGTGAAAAAATGCAATTAAATTCCTATTGAAAAAAAAAAATGGATTGACTTTCCGACCGACCTAATAGTATTTTCGCAAAAATTTTTGTTTAAGCAAAGAAAGGAAAAACAAAAATGTGATGTTTGTGAAAGTGTCAGAAGATCTGTTTATCAAATCAAACTTTTTGACTTTATATATTTACATTAAATTTTAGACCATTATTTATTAGTAATAAAAAACAAGTAAGAATATTAAACTTTTTATACCCATCATCGTTATCTGAAAAAAGTTTAAACAAAAGCAGGAAAAAAACTACATTTTCATACTCTGTTGGAGTGTGGAATATTGAATGGGTGCGGTTGATTTTTTCTATTTTCAGAATAAATGTGAAAATTTTTATGGTGTATGTGTTGCACTTTATAAGTAGCAAGCAAAACAAAGGCGTTCACAGTTTTTGTTGCACGGATAAGGTAGCGCTGTAGGCATGTCCTACGGCTTATGTCATTTTGACCTTTGAAAATTTGTAGGCGACATGTTTACAACAGATACTACATAATTGGACAAAAAGGCAGATAGGCAGGTGGAGAGACAAACAGACGAACATTTTTATGTGCATTCCGACTTTGAATTGGCAAAGTATTGAAAAGGAATTAAACTTAAATATATTAATATACTGTGTAGGTGGGGTCAAATTTTCCCATTTTTGTACAGGTGCCACAGCATTGCCTACAGAATATGCTTTCAAATGTTTGTGCATTTATCTACTACTGTTTATAAGTAATGATCACAAAAACCAATTCCTTTTGTAAAACATAGGTGTTCCGACTTTAGGTAGGTAGGTGGGCGTGCACTCCGACCGATTTCACTATCAAGCGGCGTGCAAGAATTTCCAATGATTCTGTCAAATTTGAAGTCGATATTCATTTTTGCGGCCAGGAGAGTGCCAACAACGAACACCAGACGGACACACTACCGGACAGACGTGACTTAATCAGTTCAGAATTTCTTGTTAATCAAGATTATATGTACGAACATTTATATATATATATATAAGTACATATATTCAGAAAGACCCAAATTAAGCAAATAGAGCGGTCGCGAAAAACAGTTTCGACCCAAGATAACAATGAGTTCTCTAATTGTTAAGCGAAAAACTACATGAATCGCCAGAGAGTTCATCGTCTTCCACACGTCCTCTGCAAACGTCGAATACACGCGTCCTGGACTATGCATTTTAATCAAAAGCCTTCTAGAATATTTTAGTGGTCAAGAATAAATCTTTAAAGAAATACTTGTTGGAAGTTTTCTTGCTGAATCCTTCATTCATTCCAAACATCGGAAAGTGCACGTTAGCCTAATGTGATCTTCCATTAACTCTTGAAGTTATTGGAATAAAGTCTGCAGTTGAATTACTAAGAAAACCTAATCCTATCCCTATCGATAAGACCATTGACTGACTGACTGTGCAGGCATAGTTGTATTAATTTTTGAAGCCAATGGTATTTACGCAATTTTGCCTCTCCAAAATTCATGTCATGTTCACGTAGTAATGTAATATCAAGTGTTGACTGTATTAAGTGGAAGGAGTCGGTTACATAAATGGTACTACAAAATTTCACATTGTATCTTTTCGCAATCGCTATATTCGTCTGATTTAGCTTTGCCTGGCTTCTGTCGGTTTTCGAAATTAAAAAATCGTTCCGGGCATATCCGAAACCCAATCGAATCGAAATTTTACATTAAGTATACCTCTTTAACTGCAAACGACATTGATCTGCAGTTAGAGATTATTTATCTGCCTGTATAAGTCCAAACGATTGAAGGGGAAAAGCCTTATTACACTCTCAATAGACTAATATGACAACATTAAACAGTAATATGGTGATGTTATCACATAAAATATTAAAAGTTTGTTTAAGAATAACTTCTTTTTGCTGCTTATATGCGATTATCGTAGCCTATATTACTGATGGGTGTATCAAGTTTGTACAGGTGTATATAGCGTTCCGAAAAGTTAAAGGTAGGCGTACCATTTTTTGCACCAATCTAAGTTTTCCTGTCCGCTTGATATGTGCATGACTTATTGGGCTCAATCTACAGGTCACAAACTTGCGAAACATTTTTGCGACCTCATCCTATATAACCGTTAGTTCTGAAGAAGATTTTGTAAAAAAAATTTTAATTTTCAAAATTTCCCGTTGAGTAACAATATTCTAGGATCTTAAGTCGATGTTAAAAATTCGGAAAGAATAGGGAAACCTAGGATTTCTAGATGAAAATAGATTCATAAGAGTCATCTGACATTGAAATAGAGCATGCAAAATGAGGACCACGCAGGTGTATGCTTGTGGATCCAATCTTCTCCATATCGAATTTTTAACACATTTTGAAGAAAATTGTTTTCGAATACCAGTTAGATATCAAAGTTAACCGGAAGAATATTGGACCATGTGAGTCTGTTTTTTCAATCCCATCACGTACAACGCTTCTCACGAACAGGTAGTTTTTTGATAAAATCTAATGTTGGCAATGCCGAATTTTGTAATGAAAATTGGTCGCTAATCGCAATCTGGCATCAAAGTTAACTAGAAAATTTAGAAAAATATTCAGGCCACATAGACCTATTCTTTGAGCTTTATGTGGCGACAAAGTCTAATATGGGGGTTCATCTGATGATGAAGGTAGATACAAAAATAGTACAATCTTCATAAAAATTTAAATTTGCCAAACTTCGACCATGCTGACCTTTTGGACACCCTACAGGACAAGAGTTTTAAAGAATAATATGCCTTCACATGAGATCAAGATATAATTTGTGGTACAATATATTATCACGAAAATAAATGAACAATTATGCTAAGTGAAGTAACGTGGAGTAATTAGTAGTCGACCTTGTTCAGATATAATTATCTTGCTTGTTGGTATCCTAGCTTGCTGCAACAAATTTGATATTCAATAGTTCAAGTATTAAAGCAACCTAAAGATGCATACAATTTCCACACTTTATAAAAGTAGATTATGATGATGAGTATGTTCAGTTTTTTTTTTTTTTTAAAAAAGTTAACTTCGAAATTTATTTTTATAAGTGTAGTAATTTAGTGGAAATTTATTATTACTACAAATCATTGAAAGTTCTTTGTTGTATCTTGCGCGTCGCGGTAATCACCTGAACGCAAGTGTTGAATATAAATATTCTTTTCTACATTCTTTATAATGGTTCTATGGTCTTTTTAAGTTGAACATCAAGTGAACTATGAAATATCACCCTTTCACTCGACAAAGCATTCATTTAATTGATGCTTATACATACCTTCTTTTTTTTGATGCTAGTAACATGTACTGTGACGAACTTTAACACTTAGCGAGTGTAAGAATTTTTAATTGTTTGTACTTTTTATAAATTTTTGTGTCAAGCAAATTTTCATTCACTATGGAATTAATCGCTTTAATAACACTTTATGGTTAAATGCTTTTAATTTCAGGACGAGAATCGCTATCATGAGGATATATTTGGAATCACTTTGCGAACGGCGGAAATACATACCAAATCACGGGCCACAGCACGCATTCGTATGGCGGCTCAACCTTAAATGAAACGACCACATATTAATTACGAAGAGAGCATTTTATTATAAATATATAAAGTAATTCTCAAAAAGTTTCTAAAGAAATTCTATTCTTGTCGTAAAAATATTAAAATAATGGTGGAATACTTAAATCGTATCAAAGAAACATAAATTATTTCCTTTTAATTATCATAAAATTTATTTTTGTAATAAATTTAATGAGTGTTAAATAAGAGAGAAGGAGAAAGAGAGAGAGAGAGAGAGAGAGAGAGAGAGATAGAGATAGATAGATAGATAGATAAGTAGATAGATAGATAGAGATAGAGAGAGAGAGAGAAAGAGAGAGAAACAAGGATAAAAAGCAACACAACTACTGAAAACTATTAATAAGATGAAGAGTTATTTTTGTTTATTTACATATATAATATATTTATAAACTAATAAATACTTTCAATCTATGTCTTTATTACTTTACAACAAAATAATCTATAATTTTAATAATAATGCTTACAATTAGAACGGTGATGATTATGATTGAGTGAGTTGCTAAGCTTCGTTTTTGTTAAACGTTTTCATACGAAGGAGTCGATAAGATGTAAAGCGTATTAAGTCTGAAAGGGTCATTTTTGGCAATAATAAGAGTTGGTGAAACTAGTCATCAGTACGGCAGGCACTAGATAAACTGTAAACTCTTTCATTTAATTCACTCGAATTGTATATAGTATAGTATTACCTACGTTCGAGAATATAGTGAAAAGTTTCATGTTAACATGAAAAAAGACATTCGATTGTTTGAAGAACGACTGATTGTTGTTTTGTTTTTCTCATTTGACATGTCTCCTATAAATGTAGGCACGGTGATGATCAGGAAAGTGTCAGGAAGGGGTGACATCTACGCACTTTCGACTTGAAGATAAAAATATTGGAAGTGGGAAAGATTTACACAGGTCGATTCTTTGAATAGAGGAGAGTGCGGTTAAGGAACAAGCAGTCTGGTAAGTGTAGGCGTAACCTTATGGCGAGTGATGAAAAGAAGACGGGGTATTCTTATTAAAGGATTCAACGACAGATCACTCCCACGTCTTTACCGCGAAAGCTTGTGTATGTAAGCACAACGCAGCCCATGCTATGCCGTGGTCAGAATTTATTTTAGTTAGTTTTTATATCAAATAAAAACAATGGATCACTCTGTATCATAAAATATGAAAGGCGACGTTTTTTTCCACATAAGGGCTTACTTTTCACAAGAACACTTCTACGAAAGATGGTTCAAACAGTTGGCTCATTACATTAATTTACAAGGCGAATTACTAGTGCTCAGTGGCTTACGTCGCGTAATTTTTCAAAACAAAGCTTTTTATAGTGAGTTCTTTCAAAAATGGTGCGATACAATCCATTTTCGAAAACATACATCTTTGAGACAAAAGATGTCAGGTTATCAAAATTCGTCAAAATATTGCAAAGATCGTAGGTTGTACCCAGAAATGCACGACCATGTATTAAACAGACAGATAGATGGACAGATACTTTTAAACGGATTCAGAAAATGATTCTAGATTGATTTGTATAATAAAAGGTGGGTCTCTCTGAAAACTTCATATGCATATCTTATGCCGCATCTATTAAATATCGTAAATATCGTATGTCGTATAAGTTTGTATTCCTCTAACTAATTATACTATAAAGATTAAAAACGATATATACAATTTCCCTATATATATATATATATATATGTTTTCGTAATTGTAAGTGATCTCTTATTTTGATTTACTATGTAATTTGTAGATTTAATTAAGGTAAGATTTAAGTTCCATCTTAAAATTTTAAAATAAAAGCTTTACTATTTCAAGAAAAAAAAAGCGAAAATTGGGGAGGAATTCGTTGCATGACTTAACCTATTCGTGCACTTTGTTTGAGGAGAGGAAAATAAAATTTAAGATAAGAGTTCATCTGAGCTCAAGGTGACACGTAAAACGTAAGCAGTAAACGCACGTAAGAGCAGCAACAGACTTTTTCAAACGAACCACGCCTACTCATTCATTCATATGTTATCTGAAGGCATTTTCGATGCTTATATTTATGCGTAATAAGTCTGTTCAATACATTTGCTAGGTTGGATATAACATAAATTAAAAGTGCTTATGTCAAAATTAACATTCTCTGGCTTACTCCACCTTCTCTCTAACTGTCTTTTATTCTTGAATAAAATTTTATGCGCATTGTTATCGTCTTTAAATATCTGCAATAAGTGCGTAAATGATTCCAATATGTTAGACAATCGAATTAAATCAAATATTAATTACTGTACATGTGCAATTAATTTAAGTTAAATGTTATCATATATTATTTCAATAAAATAATCAAAAATTACTAAACACAAATACTCGGATTTCATTTGCCAGAGAGTAATTGTACGAACAGATGAATCAAGCGACAGACACTCTAAACAAATGAAGAAATTTTCTCGGCTTTAATATGAACATTGAATATTGGGTATCAATTGGAAGCAATTTAATAAATTTTGAATTCAATTCATTTTTGTTCCTTATCCTGGAGTTTAAACTTCGAGGTAAATGTATTAGGAAGACGTACGGTTTACATATACTTGACATAAAATTAAGTTAACATCAATGCTTCTAAGAGACGACGTTACCTTGTCTGTCGGCATATATCAACGTTTGATGTCTCTATGTTAAAGTTGTACATTCAAGCTTTGTACAACGTCCCAGGTTATCCCGTGCGAAATATACCGTTTAGGCATGTTCAAGAAGTCGAATTCGATGTCCAAAAAAAAGCAGAACATGGTAAGTGCTTCTCTTACTATGCAGCGAACAATCTCGTTGAAAGATGACGGAGGAGGAAAAATATTATAAAAAAAAGAAAAGCATAATGTAGGGCAAGGGAACTATTAATGCCTGTGGTAGAGCCCAATTGGTACTCTCGTCGAGAAGCGCTGCCCACAACGGGTGATCCAATGCGTCAATTCGGTCAATAATATATTCAAACAAAGTGCAGAGAGTTTTTTTTGAGGGCGGAAGATAGCAGAGCAACGCATCGACAGATTAACATACATGGCTTATTCAATCCAGACTTTTATGCGGATCACGAATATGTGTACTTTATACTACATACTCCACATCTTTAAGTGGCGGATACAAAAGGTAAAGGGGGATAGGTAAACTCTCTAGTATCAAATGGCGTTTGAAAAGCCTCTTAAAAGCCAGCCAAGGCACACTAAGCATTTCAGGTCACCTTTTGGGTGCAATTTCCCCTGTTTTCTGCGTGGCTGCGGCCGCAGGCAATTAGCAAACACTCTTCGTACCGCGACTTAATTACGAGTGTGATGAGTATCGATGGGTCTACGTCTCAAAACAATGTAGACGTCAACCTTGAGGTTATTTCAATCTGTTAGTACATTAAAATGACGTACGAAAAATACAACAAACTAGTCAAGCGGAATAAGATATATGTGGTCACGTGTCTTAGAAAACTGCACTGCACTTAATTGGCAGCTAAAATTTAAGTAAGACTATGAGAAAAAGTTGTAACAAACAAAGCAAGATTTATTACATTCATACGTGTGCTGTGATAAGGTGGAGGCCAATTTGCAAAGTTAATGTGAAAAATTTTTTATGAATAAGCAAAGATACATCGAAGTGAATGAAGTGTGTGCACAGTAATGCAGTGTCGACAAAACGTCAATTTGCAATATGATCGACTTATATGGTAGTTCCGTGAATTCGTCTCTTCATGGTTTCCATCTACCACAAGAAAAAAAGAAGAAAAAAAGTCTTACTTGGTTTCCTATATACGAGCGACAGGAAAAGTAGTATCGCTATTGTTGAGTCAAAAGGACGACATGTATTTCCCATCAACGATCGTTTAGTGAACTGTAAAGGTCAAGGGCATCACATTTCCAATTTGATTTAAGGTACACCAGAAGCATTCATTAACATTATATCGGCAAACGTATACGCCCTGTATGCTCCTTGTGCGGTGTAAATTATAATTCTCTTCTTTACATATTAATGTATGCGGATGATGTGAAACTGTTTTCCTCCTGCTCTGTTGAATCGCAATCACATCTTCTTCAGCTTCAAGGTGACTTCAACAATTTTATTGCATGGTGCTCTGTGAATCTTCTGAAACTAAATCTGAGTAAATGTAAGAAGCTTTCTTTCTCAAAAAGAAAGTCATTCATTACTCAGTATTTCATAGGTTCATAGGCATAAGTTGGTGGACATCGATTCGATCACGGATTTAGGTGTTCTATTTGACCATAGGTTACGTCCCAACTTGCATATTGAGCTCTCGATAAGCAAAGCTAGGTCCACACTTGGTTTTATAAAAAGGTGGCCCAAAGAGCTTGATGATCCCTATATACGAAAAGGCTGTACATGTGTTTGGTTAGACCCATACGCGAGTATGCCTCTGTTGTGTGGTCTCCTTTATATAGGTGCTATGTAGATTCAATTGAATCTGTTCAAAAGCAATTCTTGCTGTTTGCCCTTAGAAATTTGGGTTGGGATCCGATTGCCTCTCTTCCTCCCTACGAAAATAGATTGCTTCTGCTGCCCTTACCGTCTCTTGAGAAACGTAGGTTTGTTCTTGGCGTTTCCTTTGTAATCAAAGTAATAAATGGTGCTATTGACTCGCCTTCATTACTTGGTGAAATAAGCTTTAATGTCCGAACCGCTTCTCTAGGCACTTTATCTTGGTTAAGCTTAGTCAGTGTAAATATAGTTATGAGCTCTTTAATCCGCTCAGAGTAGTTTGCAAGAACCTAAATGACGTCTATCACTTATTCTCGTTATCGGACTCTCTTAAGTCCATTAAAGCAACATTGGTTAATACGCGCGATTTACCTATGTCTTACTTAAACTAGCTTCTATCCCTAAAAGTCGTTACGATCCGAAAATGAATTGTTGTTAGTATTATCGGTTGCCAGGCTTATGCATGTTTGCGATGGCTTAGTGGTTCATTTGCAATTTGGCCCTCTACCGGTTGTAAGTGTGGCTCTATGCTGGTTGTGTACAGGCTTTTTTCTTTTTTTTTCCTTTTTATTTGTTTTATTGTGCTTATACTAAGTTTTATTATTAATTTAATATAAGTTTTGCTTTAAATGCCAATTGAACTCGACTGTTATTTGTTTAGTTGAGTTTCATGTATAAGTAGAATTAAAATAAATAAATAAATAAATAAATAAATAAATATTGTCGACGCTTTCATAATTTACGA